AGAAGAAAATTCAAATTAAAACCACTATGAGATATCACCTCAGATCCAGTAGGGTGACTACTATGAAAAAAATTTTTAACAAGTGTTGGTGAAGATGAGGATGTATCTAGATCCATTTTTTAAAAAAAGAATTCACAGCTTAGTTGGGTTTTCAAAGCTGTTCACAATGCTTCCCTAATGGAAAATGAAAGATGAGGTTGAGTGTTTACAGTTTGCCTTACTTCCTTTACCTGATGGGCATCCTAATGTCTAGTTATCTAATCAGTTAACATGAAGTTCCTCACACAGAAAAAATTTTGTACTGACATTTTCCGTTGTTGCTTCTGTCTGATCCATGTTCTGTTTATGCCAAACTGACGAATTCTGTAGCACAGGAAGCCTGAGTTTGTGTTCTGTTAAACACTGAGTGGAAAAACTAGTTTGGGCTAGCTCCTGGATTTGCTGATGGCAGTCACAAATTCAGTACATCATCAGAATAGGAAACAAGTCCAAATATGAGTCAAGAGGTGATCTTTTAGGGTTGTGTGAAGCAAGCAGAAAGGGCAAGGCAGAGAAAAAGAACAAAGCAACTAGTAATATACATAAAGGAATAGGGCACAGTTACTTTAAATTTGTGACCAAATGCCTCAATAGTCCATTTAAATGAAGCGGTGGAAAAGTAAGTAAGCCCAGCTTTTATCTCTGGCCACCAGCCTGTTTCATTTGTTTGTGATATTCTACTTGTAATGCTTAGGAAGCAGTATTTTCCTGGTTATTTGCCATAATGACTGCGTAGAATAGTGTAGTCATTATGGAAAATAGTATAGAGATTTGCCAAAATTTAAAATAGAAGTATCATATGATCCAGAGATCTTACTTTTGGGTTTTAATCCAAAAGAATTAAAATAAGAGTATCAAATAAATATTTATAGTCAAATAAGGTTTTTTTTTTTTTGTCTTTTTCATTTTTATCGGTACCAGGGATCGAACTCACGACCACACACTTGCAAGGAAGGCGCTTATGCTGCTGAGCTAAATCCCCAGCCCCTAAATAAGTATGTATAATCCATGCTTATTGCAGTATTCACAATAGCCAAGATGTGGAAGTAACCTAAGTCTATCAGTGGAAAAGTGGTTTATGAAAAGAAGGTAAAACTATATAATTAAATATTATTTAGTGATAAAAAAGGACAATCCTGTCATATGTGATGTCTTCAATAAACTGTGATGTTTTTGTTAATAAACAATAGCAGTTGAACCCAAAGAAACAAATAAGCAAATAAATTTAAAATTCAGATAAATAAAATAAAAGCTGACAACGTAGAGTTTAAGAAAATTAATCCTTGGAAGTGATTAAAATCGATTGAACATGACAATATAGACTGAGGTACTAAAATGGCACAAATCATCAGCACCAGATATTTTTAAAACAAGGTATATTTATGGGACCTTCCGATAATAACATTCCTAACTATTCTATGTCAGTAAACTGAAAAACATAGGTGAAACTGGCAAATGTTGAAAGTCACTAGTCATCAGAAAACAAAATGATATCATGACTAACCTGTATTAAGTAATGCTTCTAAAATCCTTCACACAGTGGGCTGGAGGTATAGCTCAGCAGTTTAGTAGCTGCCTGGCAAGCATGAGGCAGTGAGTTTTTTTTTATTTTTTTTCCCCTGGTACCAGGGATCGAACTCACAACTGCGCACTTGCAAGGCAGGCACTTATGCAGCTGAGCTAAATCCCCAGCCCCAAGGCAGCGAGTTTGATTCCCAGTACCACAAAATAAGTAAATAAGTAAATCTTCAGTTACTTCCAGGACTAGATGACATCGCTTATAAATGTTATGGAAGATTTAAAGAGCAAATTGCTCATTTTAAAGAAACTTTTCCAGATAATGATAAAGGTTCATTTTATAAGGTCTCTATAACCTACTTTTGGTTAAGTATGACTGACATTTTTTTGGAAGTATTTTGGAAAGGCTGACTACATATAATATATGGCAGCCAAAACTTATGGGAAGAGAGATTTAATCTGTATCACAGTTTTAGAGGGTTCAGTGCATGGTCAGTAGTAGGCTTCAAAACAGGAGCATTGTGATGGAAGGGTGTTGCAGAGCAAAGCTGCTTGCACAAGAGTGCCTGTCAGAGATACACTTTCCAAAGCATGCCTCAGTAGCCCACCTCCAGCTGAGATCTAGACTCCAGTAGTGTATTTTTAACTTTGTTTCTAATATGGAGCTTAGATGACATATAGAAACTATTACATTCTGTATTATATTATATACTATTTTATTCTTTTTGTTAAACCAATTCAACAACTATCATTGTGTCATTAATTTGCCTAAATAAATGAGTATCTATGAAAGAATATATTGAAGCATTTTTGTGATTTCTGTGTAGGCTTCCTGTACCTTATTTGCTCAAAGAATTAGGGGAGTAATTAAGTCTTTTCTGAGAAATTTGAAATGTACAGCTTTCACTTACCAGGAGACTTTCTTAGTTAGGTCAAATATATACGTGTATTTTAAATTTCCAGTTCAGACTTCTGACTCAAAGCTGATTATTAGCTAATGATCAACTCCATTTCATACAATGGGGCTTTCAGCTTGGAAAAACATTTTTTTTTAAGACAGGATACTTTTAAATGACTTTAGGATCAGCAACTTATATTTTGCCTTTGAATTTAAAGTACATCCTGCATATCTGTTTTCTTTCCAACCTGGTCTCTTTATTATCTGCACAAGTCATAAACTTTTGAAAATATTGGATATTTAAGGACTTTACATGATAAGTCATATGAAAAATAAGTTAATTACTAAATTTATTTTAATAATTAAGTCATATATAGATTACTTATGAGTGGCTTTAACCATTTATTGTATTGTAGGGTACATTTTTATATTTCATTAAATTTTGTTGCATATTAATCTTAATTTTTATGTGTGATAATAGCTTTTAGAGTACATTTTAAGAAAGACAAGTGTTCCCTATATTTACTGACGTTTAAACAGATGAAATCCTCTGAACTCGGATTTACTTCTATATAATCAGAGTGATAAGGGAAAGTAGAATTAAAATGTATTATGTACATATACCATGTCCCCACAATGAATGTAATCACTATGTACTACAAGCATGTACTAATAAAAATGTGAAAAAATTAATCGTGCTAAGAATAGGGAATTGTAAATGAAAATGTAGGTGAAAGATTAGTCTTGAAGTGATTCTAGAACTAGGAAGTTGAGTGGTAAGAATACTGAGTTCCCATTTGACTGTATCTGAGGAAGAAACTCAGGTAATTCATGCTTTCTATTACTTCCTGGAAGATGTGGTGAGCATGAACTAATTATCTTGACTTCTACAATATTTATGTTATTGACTTTTACAGAAAATCATTCTACATTTTTATGGTTCATATGAAATCCAATGCAAAAATAGTACTAATTTTTATATGAAAATCCAGTTTAAAACTCACTTAGAAATTTTGAGAAAAATGAACAAATTCTTTTATTTTGATATTGTAATATACATATTTACTTTCAGGTTATATTTTGTGTCTGTCTACCTATTTTAAATGAAACATTTTTAGAAATTTAAACACTTGTTAGGCTGTGAATTGATAAGTTACTTTTTAAGGTAACATTAGACAGTGTTCATCTTTAAAATAATGTTTATTCTAGAACCAAAATTAGCATGCTACCAATTAAGAATCCTTCCCTATTCTACTTTTAAATGCAAAATTAGAAGACTTTGAAGGATTAAAACTGGGTATCTCCTGCCTATTGATGCCTATTAGATATCTGTGGTAGTTTAGATCTATTATACCAATGTGCAATAATAAATTTGACATAGATTCAATATAAATGTAGATATGATTTATATTTCTTCACTTATTTTACGTTGGCCTACCTTGCACAATGTTATTACTTTATATGTTAGTGTATATAATTAGACTCACTTATTAATGGTACTAGCCAATGACTTTTTAATGGTGAGTGACCTGCCTTTGTATGATCTACTTTTTTCCTGCTGGAATTTTGATTGTTGCCTTTTAATTTTGTTTGTTTGTGCCTTTAATAGCTATATAATATTTTTGTCTTTTTTGCCAATTATATTATATTCTAAAATGCTTTTCCTTTTTTTTCTGATTGTACATTTTACATTGGTCACTAATCACATATGTCACCAATATCAACTTACTTGCAATTCTCAAACATGGTATTTTCCCTTAATAGAAAAGCTTCTCACTTTTCCTTCATGTTTACTTTTGAATAAACATAAATTTCACTTACCTCTAACCTTTTTCCAGTTTCATTATTCATCATTTCTTATTTTGACACTAACAGTTTTTTCTTAGCACTCTGTGTCTTTACACAGTGTTTATGAGTACCTGCTAATCTGCCATGAACACCAGTGAGGATAATGTCTGTACCATAACAGAAGAAATATACCAAAATGAAACTCTGCCTTGCATCTGGAAATCATTGACCCTTACACAAAATAGTGAGTGTATATTTTACATGGTTGCATCCTCTTTTTTCTCCTTTATTATTTGTAGTTTAATTATATGTAGATGCACATATAATTACAGAATGTGCAAATCACAGACCAGAAATTCAAATATAGACATTTACCCTAAGGCCGGAGAAATTTTAACCATTATGATATATGAAATTTTTAAAAGTACAATTAGAACAGTTTGTTCATGATTCCATAAAAATCAGCTGAAAATGTGAAACTAATTCAAGCTGGATTTTTCTTTATTGAGATAAAAAGCACAGAACTGATCAAATTACACTTTTCAATTTAAGTCATTTTGTAGTGCAAACAATTTGAATATTAATCATCATAAACTTTTTTATTTCACCATAATTGACTTTTAAAGTTTAAATTCATCATTTTGCCTAGTTTTAGCATTAATTCATTATTGCTAAAATGAAAAATCATATATATTAAGATATAAAAATATGTTAATTGGAAATCATATTTGTTATTTGGGCATGTGCATTTTTTTTTTTTTTTTTTTTTTGTACCAAGGATCGAACTCACAACCTTGCGCTTGTCAGGCAGGCTGTTATGCCGCTGAACTAAATCCCTGACCCCATGTGAATTATTTTTATAAAATAGATTTCTTTTCAGATTTTTCTTTAAATTTTGAAATAATAATGTTTTAGAATACAAAAATATTAGATTTTCAAAGTCTGACAAATCTCCGTCTTGGAAGCTGATTCAAAGTAGTGTCAAACCTTTTGTTGATAGCCTGATGTCTAAGGTGTAGATTTCTATATCCCGTCACATGTGTTTAGTCACCTCTAATCCCAGTGTTGCCAAGCACTAAGCAACTCAAATAGCACTATTTTGGGTTTTTTCTTTTTTGTCTAGTCCCCATGCTTCAATATACCTCCTGTTTTTCATCTCTTAAATAAATTACCTATAGTAATTTATTTAATTTATTTATTAATCCAGTTTCTTAATTTTAGGACAACTGAAACTAATTTTAAATTATTTGAAAACATTCATTACTACATTTTCATCTTTTTCATATACAGTTCACTTATTAAAACCCAGCAATAACAAGTGGATCATATTTCTTTGATGGTTTGTTTTGCAGGATATTCTTTTTTTCTTTCAGGAATTCTGTTTCACAGGGTTTAGGGGCTACTTTAGAGCTATATCAAGAAACTGTTGATCTGACACTTGTCATTATAAGTTTCATTTACTGGAAAAATTTTCTTTATCTTCAAGGTGAAAAATAGGGCATTGAGGAAAATCTCCCTAAGGTTACCAGTGGACTAGCAGCATCACAGCCCTCTTTTTCTCATTCAGTGAAGAAAGTATATTAGATATATCTTCTCAAACCTTTTCTCTTCTCCATTGCGCTGATTTATTTGCTATTATGTGAGGAAGAAAACTACTTATAAAATGCAGAAAAAAGAACTAATAAATTTATTTTTCTTTATGGTTCACAAATCCTAAGTCTGAATATCTGGTATCAAATGAGTTTTATCGATTAAAATTGACTGACTGACGATAGGCATGTGTTTGGAAATTCATAAACATTAAGTTTGTAGAGATAAAAAGTGAAACTTGTGGCTTTGAATTATCACTGAAATGTATTCTACAGTTTTATGCAAATAACTGTACCTCCTTTCTATGGTCAAGCTCTAAGATGCCTATGTGTGTGTATGCTGGGAAAGATATCTGCTTCCTAAAGTGCTTTGTTAACACCATAATTTTAAATTAAGTTTTCCAGAAAGCTGATCCTGCTGTACATTTTGGCATCTAAGATTAGGTCATGGCCATAAATCTTGTTTACGTACTTAATGCAAAGGAGATACTGCTGTCTTGGGAATCATGTGAGCCAGATTCTTTATTTTGCTCCTCTTACAAGATATTGACATATAAAACAAAATGCTCCCATTTTGTTTTGCATCTTTCTTCATTTAAAACTTTAAATAAAGAATGTTTATGCATGGTTCTTTTTCATTCATAAAAGTGGAAATCACTCTTAGTGTCTGCATGAGTAGGCTTGTATTCTTGTTCACGAATTTGTATGATAGATTGGCCCATAAAATCTTTATGTTTGGCTTGTGCAGCTGAGTTCATGTCTGAATAGGGAATGACAAAGAAGCTTTAGCATTTTGTAGAAATCAAAAAAACCATGCCTTCTAGATGGCCCTTAAGCTAGCTTTTAACTTCCTAGAAATCAGCCAGAAATGTATAATCAAATTTACCATTAATGGCACAGCATAGCATAAATCTTTGGGATATAATCTATAAGTTAATGCAAATGTATTCTTCAATATGTATTTGATTTTCATTATATTTGCATGGAAGCCTGCCAGTTCAGACAGACATATTTTTACCTTTCAATCTATCAGAAGTTAAAAGAAAAATGATGGATTGTGTCACTGACCAGTCCAACAGCCTATTTCTTCAACGTATCACTCTGTATTTACTATTTTCACTATATTGTTTTCAATTTCTGGCAAAATAGTCAGTTTTTGATCCTGGGTAGAAAATGTCAGTGCTCATATTTTATGGGGTTTTGGTCTTTTTGTGAAATGTAGGAGAGCATTCAATGAATTATGATATTGTCACCTGAAGTGTGTTTCTTTGCCAAATTTTAGCAAGAATAGAACTGATCATTTGCATGTACAAGTCTTTTCTTGAACCCTAACAGCAGTTCCCTCAGCCTTCTGCCAGTTCTCTCTCATGCTGTGAGACTGTAGTACAAACAAATCTTTTTAACCTTCCCTTTTCAAGGTTAATAGAGTTAATAACCCCAAGGAATATACATTTTTCCAGAGGAATTTAGAAGCCTAAATTTAGAAACTTAGGAGTTTAGAATTTCATCACTGAAATTCTAAATAATCTTAAAATAAATTGTTTCTTATTGCAAATATTTTAAGAAGAATGCGTATCTTGTACTACTACTTCATGAAAATGAACACTGCTCATCTTCAATATTTTCCTTACATTCTATACAAAAATAAGTATTTATAGGTAACATTTGTGTATTGTAACCTTATAAATCAGTATGTCTTCAAGTTGTAATTACTAATGTATTTTATGGTCATCTGATACTACGCCATGTTTCAGTATTCCTCAATAATCATGAGTTTATATTTTCAATGTTTTTTGACAACCTATATGGACAAGTTATAAGAAGCAAATCTTAACATTAAAGATTGTGATTTAATAAGGATTCTTCAGCTTAAGTTTTTAGTAATCCTTTTGCAATACTAGTTTCAAATGACTTTTTAAAAATTTTTTCATGGTATAATATTGTCTGTTTAGTTACATGCTTCTCTTACAACTTTTTTTGACCAGCTGTGTCTTAGATGTCTTCTTTCTATAACATTTATTTAGTAATACATTTTTAGTGCCTACTCTATATCAAATACAGTCCTACACGCTAGCTTTCCTACAGAGAATAAAATGTACTTACTTCCTGCAATTAACAACTTTAGGTACTTATGAGAAAAATGCATATGTGTATATATTGATATGTATTATAAAATGCATGTATATTAACATATATTAGAGAAGTGCATGTATATATTAGGTAGAGGGAAAGAGACAAAGAGGCAAACAGATAGGGATGCATCCAATTTTGGATTTCTGGATTGCAAGTGTCTAGGTAATTACCAAGTAAAGACAGAAGAAAGGAGGAGAAAAATGACAGTAATTGTCATGGACAGTAAATGGCATTTTAAGGCCTAGAAGCAAGAGTATAATCATACAAAGAACCAGAAAATAGTTGCAGAAAGGTGCGAGAGAACATTATTATATAAGTCCACCCTTCAAGTCATACAGTGTGTCTGAATTTTATGTGTTGTATGTTGTGCCTATTTGAAATAAAGAACTAAGAAATAGGCCCTGCTTTCAGAGTTTGACAGCTACTGTAAATAGTGTATCTCCCCCTGCCTTTGGTACTAGAAATGAACCCAGGAACTTTCCACTGGTCCACATCCATAGCCATATTTTACTTTGTTTTGGAATTGGGTCTTGCAAGATTGTATTTGATTTGGGAGAGTTAATTTTAGGAAGCTTTTATCACCTATACTGCAGACCTATGCTGCAGACTTGTGACCCTCCTGCATTTGCCTCACAGAAAGCTGAGATTACAGGCATTCACTCTCCAGCTATGTAATTTATAGTTAAGGATTAAGGTGGAGATTTTTTTAGGAAAAATTGAGTTTTATGGACCAAGTAATTGTACTTTTAATCCAGAACTCTCCCATTCATCTTACCTGCCTTAGCTACATTAAAGCAGGTGCTCACAAACTGTTATAGGTATGTTTCTCCCCAGATGCAATAACCACTACCTTTTCACAAAGAGGTAATTTAGAGATAATTTTCCTTTTTCACATATATTTGACTTAGTTCATCCAAGTGTGTGGTGGTTGTGGTAGTTCATGTGACAATGAGACCTGATTAGTCTCCTAAGTCATAAGGAAGTTTAAATGAACATGTAGTCATTGTACCATGCTGCCATACAGCTGAGAAGGTCCTCAAAGGCCTTTGGGCAGGAATTGAGCAGTTAAAGCATGAAATGGCCTAGGTATAAGAAGCTAAATTATGATGTGGCAAAGTAGAGAGATAAATGAAAGAGAGCATACTGAATTGGAAGTCATTCAAAGTACTAGACTGTATTCATCTAATTAAGCACAAGTTTAAGATTCCTGGATCCATTTGCCTGTCTTACTTCCTTGATAAAGAAACTATGGGCTAAAAAGTTGCCCAGCAAGTGGACAGAAAAGAAGGGACCACAAGTTATGACTTTACATGAATAACCATTTAAAAGGCTACCTGGAGATTTCCGTTAGTATTTTTGGAAAGTAATATTATATTTGATTTTGGAGAATTAATTTTAGGAAGCTTTTATCACCTATACTATACTTGCTAAGCAACAACTAAAATTTGTAATGCTGCCAAAATTGCAATGTCTTGATTAGCAATACAAAGAAAATGTACACTTCGTATAGGTTCCAGAACATGAGATTGGTGAGGGGGTAGGGTTAGGGATTGAACCCAGGGCCTCAGGCGTGCAAGGCAAGCACACTATCACCCAGTCAGAATACAGTATGTGAGTGATTAAAACAAGTGATTAATCTTCCTTATATGGAAGTCTTAGATATTCTTTATGGCCTTTGCACTTTCAGTTTAGTCTCCTGGGATTATGCTTCTCTGAGACACATTTTTAGTTCACTGTTTCATTCTCCTAAGCGAAGTGTTAACTTCTCAGTGAGTTCTTCCCTGGCTACTCTGTCCGCGTTTACTTCCTTTTATTTCTTATACTTCCTATACTGAAGCAGTTTCTTTTTCTAAAATGTCTCTTTAATATGTATCTATATCTAGGATGGAATATATTTTAAGTAAATTTTGCTTATTCTCTGTGATCCTAAGCTAGAAGATTGATCCTTAGAGGGATGGAAGGGAAGCAGAGAAAATTCTGAGATGCTGAAAGTGTTCAATAAATATCTATTGAATATTACATAAAATATTTTGCCACAAGATTAGTTTCAAAATAAATTTTAAAATGATTGATAACTTATGTATAATATTTCCATTTATATAATTTTCAAAGACCATTTAATTATAATACATGGTTGATGTATATTTGATAAAGCAGGATCAATTTTATTTGATTATTTTCTTTTTTATTTTTAGAGAAGAAACAAAAACAATATCACAAGATCTCAAAACAAATAGTACAAGAGTAACAAGGAATAGTATATTGCGTATTGTTGTCCTTAAATTAGGTACAGAGATTACACAAAATAAGCATGAAAGTTGTTCAAACAATGTAAGCACAAACCTTTCTTTGCAATGAACTAATAAAAATTAGTAGTAAAAGTATCTTAACTATCATATATTAGTATATAATTATATATGGTATAACTCATATATTTATATGTGATATAACTATTATATTTATAGATGATAGTTATGAAATGATATATTAATATATTTATATTTCTTTTTTCATTTCTACCATTACAGTTTCTCTTTCCTTTTGAATCGTTTCTTCCCATTTCAGAGTATCCATTGTGCATTTTGGATCTTAATTGCTCTATCAGCTTCTTATACTAGGAAGACAGTACAGGGTTTAGGCATGCAAATCTAATTTATTTCACTTGTGAGTATGGTCTCAAATTGCATCCATTTATTTATAAAAGTCTCAAATTTATCCTGCTTTATAGCTGACTAGTACTCCATTGTATAAAAATACCATACCTTAGTCTGGGAACCAGTGCCATGCACAGGCCATCACTGGATCAGCAACAGCCAGACCTAAACCTCTCCCTGTGAGTCAGCACCATTTGCAGACTGAGAGGAGAAAGGACAAGGCCACACCAGCAAACAAACTCAGTCCAGAAACCAGAATCATGTATGAGCCACCACTGGAAAAGCCAGAACCCAGTCCCCTCTGGCACATGGGCTGGGAAAAAAGGACTACCAATCATCCCTTCCCCACTCAGCATAAGTAACTGGCTTATCCAGAGAAACACAGGTTGTGATGATAGCTATGGAGATGAAATGCAATTGGATGCCTCTGGTGCTTTGGTGTTACACTAACATTGCAGGTCTAGGGCCAGTGGTCTGAGCATAGGTTCAGAGAATAGCAGTACACGGTGTGACATCTAAGGGAGATCTCCTAAAGATTGCAGCCTTTGTTGCTTCCCTATAATCTTGTTTGGAAGTCCTGTATCATTTCCATTGGTTTGTTGGGTTGGATTTGATTCTCTTTTGTCTTGTTTGATTATGTTAAATCCAGTGGAAGGAGCATATTTATTTCAAAGATAGCAAAATCTATTATGGTAGTGATTTTGGATTTACTATCGGCTTGTTTTGAAATCTGTTAGAGACCACTACGAAGCAGCTCTGAGCAGGATTTAAATTTTACTAATTGGCTTTCTATGTTTATCTGTGAGTCTGTCCTAGGCCTAGGTCCCTTGCCTGGTGATGGGAGCTGATTCATAGTAAGTGACTGGTCCTGGCTGAGGCCTGTAGTAGCCTGTGAGGCCAGAGATACCTAAAAGGGCAAGACAAGGCCACAGCTGCGGACACTTAGCTCCAACCCCAATTAACTAGGTAGAGACTGCAGTTGCAAAGATTACTCCTACAGTCTCACTTCTACCATGTCTTCCTGATAAGACAGTGCTACTGAATTGACTTGATTCTTTACTTGGAGACGTCCTTGAAGTGACTCCCAAGGTTCTGCTCATTGCCTGCACTTTCCTCAGTCTCTCTGCCCTTTGTCCTTGGTCCTAATATAAGTGGACTGATCCAGAGAATCCTTTGTCTTTACCCTTGAAGACTTGAGCTTAATTAAAGAGTTTTGATTCTCCTGGAGCCCTAAAAATCATACAATTTGTGTCTTTTAATTTAACCTCCACCGTACACTCATTTGAGAGATTGGGGATCTAAGACGAAACCCGATAGAAATCCTTTACTGCATTCATTGTTTTCTTTTTATTGTTTCTATTCTTGTCTGTTCTGTTTGATTTTTACTATGTCTGAAGTTATCTGCAGCTATTTGAAGACATCAAATGGCATTATAGTAACTATTATTGATTTTGTAATGTTTTGAAGTCCTGAATCTCTTACACTGGGTTGTTTTATTGGTTTTATTCTATTTTATTCTCTTTAAAATAAAATTTTAAAGAAATACCATCCTTTTAAACATTCCTCAATTGATGGGCATCTTGATTGTTTACAAGATTTAGCTATTACAAATTATGCTGTTATAAACATGGGTGCATACATGTCACTGGTATAATGTTTTTAATTCTTTTAGTAAGGCACCCAGAAGGAGAATAACTGGGTCAAATGGGATCTCCAATCCTAGTTTTTTGAGGAATCTTCACTCTGATTTCCATAGTAGATGCACCAGTTTATACTCCCACCAACAGTAGAGAAGGGTTCCTTTTTCTCCACAACCCCTGCAGCATTTTTATTGGTTGATAATTGTTCAACCAGATCTGCCATGGGAAGTGTGCTGGATATGGAGCCGATCTTGGCCTCTGGATGTGGGGGCTGGGACTGGTCTGCAAAAACCAACTGCTGACTCCTTTCTGCTGCCTCAGACACTTCCACATTGCAGGTCTCTCTGCCTATTCTGCCTGCCTGCCCAAGGTGTGTGTGCCCGCACACCCTGCATCTGGTTGTCAAGGATCTCATTTGGGTGTCTAGTTGCTCTGCCCGTCAAATACATGTGTTTGATTATTCTCAGGAGTAATGATAAAATATTTGTTAGTAAAAATCTGAACTAAAAGTCTCAATCTTAATGTTTTCCACACCATTATGTATGGATATGAATGTAACAGTGCTATAGAAAAGTAAGCAGTAAGAAAGTAAAAATGAAAAATAGTGTAAATCTATATGTGTTCTACTTTTAAAGATGTAATTTTCTAAAAGTAATAGTGCCAATCTCCATTTCATTCAGCAGAGTATGGCTCTTGTTCTATATTCTTGTCAATACTTTTTAAAAAGTGTATATATTCTAGTTGGTATGTTGTGATATCTTATTTTTATTTTAATATATAACTTTTCCAATTACTAAGGAGATTGAACATCTTTCCATATGTGTCAGTCATTTTGATGCCAGTTTTCATAAAATGTCAGTTTTTCTATTGTGTCATACATTCTTTAATTGATATATAAGATTCCTTTATAATTTGTAGATCTGAGACCTTTGTCAAGTGTGTATTGGAAATACTTTCTCTGAGTTTATTGCTTGCTTTTTAATTCTCTTAATAATATCTTTTATGACCAAAATTTGTTAGTTTAGCATAGTGCAATTTATTACTTTTTCATATGATTAGTACTTTTAATATCTTAGGCGAATTTTTACAAGTCCAAGGCTATGAAGGAATATTATGGTATTTTCTAGAAGGCTTGTTTCCCAATTAGTTCCACAGTTGATTTCTGTATATTGGGTGAGCCAAGGTTCAAATTTTATGTTTTTCATATGAATATACAAAGAGACCAACAATATTAACTGAACGAGTAACTTTATTCAAATGTGGCAGTAACTACACAGCTTTTTGAAAGCTACCAACTTTGAGAGCAAAGCAATGCTGAGCAAGTCACCTCTACTGTTCAGAACTGGAAATTTGATGGCATTGCGTTTTCACTCAAAATAAAGTATCCTAAGAAAAAAAAGAAAGAAAGAAAATGTTTCTCCTCTTTCCCCAAGTAGAATATTCTCTTGGCTTGAGTTCCACAAATATGTTCACTGAAACAAAACCAAGTATTTCAGACCAGACATAGAACTAAAATTGTAACAAAGATGATTCAAAGGCCTTCATAGAAAGATGGCAGGTCTACAGCTTCTTATATCTTAATAACATCAACTTTTAAAATATTTTAAAATTTTAAAATATTTTCAAATATTTCTTTTGACCTTAACTTTAAAAATCTGGTTACTTCATCTCTTCACTGTATAAAATTTCAGAAGGGAGGGTTTTAAATGCTTCTCAAATTCAAATGTGAGCATTGTCTTCATTATTTTTTCATTTGTTATTTAAATTATATTTTAATAATAATTACATTTTTAAAACAGTGAAAAGCCATGTTTAAAATACCTTGGTACCAAGAAGCAAGCCCTGCCTGCACACTAGTGCTATGCACAAGCCTCTGGTGCCAGTAGGACAGACAGACTCCAGTCTTTTCCCATGAGTCAGTGCCATGGGAAAAATCAATGTAGGGGAGAGAACAAGAAGTCACCAAGAAGCAAACCCTTCTTATGAGTCAGTGCCACATGTGGGCTGCCACCATCAGGGGAAGAACCATACCTCAGCCCATTCCAGCGTGTGGGCTGGAAGACAAGATATACCACATACCCACCCACCCAGCACCACCATAAGTGAAGTGCTGATCTGGAAAAACACAGGCTGTGACAATAGCTATTGAGGTGAAATGCAATTCGATGCTTGTGGTGTTTGGTGTTTCACTGACTTTGCAGGTCTAGGGCTGGTGGTCTGATCATCTATTCAGAGGATAACCATACACAGTGTGGCATATATGGGAGATCTTCTTCTGAAGGTGGTAGTCATTGTTAACTCCCTATTATCTTGTATTGAAGTCCTGTATCATTTTCATTGTTTTGTTGCGTTGGGTTGTTTTTTTTTTTTTTTGTCTTATTTGATTTTGTTATATCTGATTGCATGGGCAGCTATTTCAAAGATAGCAAGATATATTTTGGTAACCATTTTGGATTTGCTGTTGTCTTGTTTTTAAGTCTTTTATTGCATTCATTTTTTTTTTGATTTATTGCTTCTATTCTGTTCTGTTTTGTTTGATTTTTCCTATGTCTGAAGCAATCTGCAGCTATTTTGAAGACAAGATTTTGTATTGTTTTGAAGTCATGTGTCACTTACACTGGTTTGTTTTGATTGGCTTTTTTCTATTTTGTTTGGTTTTATTCTCTTTAAAAAAATAAAGACATTGGTAAATTCATTCTAGAAACTCTAGAGTTTTTCATTTTTTTAAAAAATAAAATTTACTATCAAGTAATTATAAGCTGGGATTGACATGCTGTTCATAGTCATGAAATAATAGTTTAGCATAAAAGGACAAGTTATTCTCTGAATTAATAAAAAATACAGCTTAATCAATTTTGACAAAGTCATCACACCTCTGTACCTATTACCCAGTTTGAGAAATAAAACATTATGAAGGTTGTAGAAGTCTCTCTTCTACTTTGTAATAGTGCCTAGCACTATTCCTTTTCCCTTTCTAGAAAGTAGCCATATTTTTCTTACTAAAAATTGATTAGTTCAATTTGTATATGCTATATTCATGACAATATTTGGTATTTATTCCTGTGTATTCTGTTGTGCCTGACTTCTTTCACTTTATTTCAATCAGTGTTATGGCTATAAATTCATCGTGTTGTTGGATGAGCAAATTTTTTCTGTTGTTCTTTTTCCTAAAGATTATTTGATTTATGGATATACTACCAAATAGTTATCTATTCTATGCCATACATTTAGATATTAGTGGCTAATAATGCTATTATGAATATTCTGTTTAAATCTATAGTGCAAATATCTATGCTTTTTTTTGAGTAGATTTAGTGACTTTTCTAAGGTGATAAAAACATTGGCCATTCATATCCACTGTGTATTAGATTTCCAGTTGCTTCATAGCCTCACTCAAACTTTAAATATTGCCAACTTTTTAAATATCTGTCATCCCAGTAAATATGTAAGGCTATTTTGTGTTTTTAATTTACAGTTCTCTGAGATTGGTAAGGGTTGGTATTTTAAATATGAGCTCTTGGTCATTCATGTATATTGTAGTATATCTTCCCTACTGTGGCTTTTATTTTTTTCCTATTAATGATATCTTTTTATAAATAATTTATTCCTTTTGTTTCTTGGTATTTATAGTTAACTATTTATGTATCTTATTTGAGAAAAATCTTTCCTATCTTGAGATCACAGAGACCATCTTATCTTTCAAAACTGTACCTTTCACATTTAAAATATGGACATGAGCATTTCCTTAAGTTATCCTTCAAAAAGATGAGCCAATTCATATGCCAACTAAAATATGCACAAGAATTAACTTCTTTACACACTTTCCAAAACTTACTCAAATTGGTTATTATTAAAATTTTTATTTTTTGCCATTATTATAACTGAATTAGAACTTTTATTGCTGTTCAAATTTATGATATATTTCAGACATATATAAGTAATAAAGATTATCATTACAAAGAATATTAAAATACCCATTTATCAAAATCCATTATTAATATCTAAAAATAAAATTACATTGGTTGGGGAAAATCACCTAGTTTAAAATTCTTCACATTGAAAAAGCATGAACCTAACTATGCTAATGGAATAATGGAAAAATGTTCTCCAAAGCACTAAGTCTATAGAGGGTATCATGGTGCTCCTGCAATAGCATTTCTTAGTACATGTATACACTATATAAGTACATATATACACTATATAAGATTATTAAAAGAAAAAGAGACCAATAGCTGTAACAAACAACCTTCAGTCACTCAGAAGCTGTGGATAATAGTGGGATTTTCAGTGTATCTTATATGTGCTCCTGTTTGGAGAGTATTTGCATGTTAGCAGGATGCCTACTATTCTTAGAATATTAGTGCAAAGTTAGTTAATGCATGCCAAACATCAGGAGTAGAAACTAAAGGTGAACAGAATGCCCATCCCAACTATGATTACAAAGCAAGCACAGTGGTCTGACACTGCCATCTGATAGGGTAGGAAACCTACACATCCTTCTTAGGGAGTAGCTTTGGACTGGGAAACTTACATTCCCGAGAAGATACAAATGATTTAACGTGAGTCCAAATTCAAGATATTGCTTCTACTATTGGATACTGTTTTAATCTCAGGTAAGAATGAAAGAAGTTTGTAATTCTCTTTATTACTTCTAGACCAGACAAAGTTATGAAAGGATTCTGAAATAGAAATTTCACATTCTTTGCTTGTTAGTATTGTCTTCTATCTCACCATTATAAATGCTAGTGGGTGGAATATTTTTCGGAGAATGACCAAACAGAAACAGGAAAAGCTCATCTCAGCTGATATGGCCACTTAACCAATTATACTTTAACTTGAAAAAATAGAAGTCTTTCTTGAAAAAATAGACTATACAAAGTTTGAAACTCAAAAACCTTTGTAATGCAATAACTCAATTGTTCATAATTCTTGCGTCAGGGAAGTTCTTTACAAATGAAAAAAATTTTATTACTAAATCTTTAATATATGCTTAAGGATTTTCCCTTTAACTTTTTGTTATTGGTTCATCTTTAAGTATAATGTGCGTGTCAGGATATCTTACTTTAGGATAATTTTTTGTTTTTCCTACTATTTAAATAAAAAATATAACCCATGAATTTTGAATAAGTTATTTTAATATTCTCTAAAAGAAATGCATCTGATATCCTAAGAATGGCTGCTAGTTTAGTCAAATTGGTTATTTTGTGACTTTGATTTTTAGTACATAAGAATAAAATAATGTTAACTTATAAAAACAACCTGACATTCTAAGTGGAACTTTTATTTTGCTTTCAGGTTTTTTTTATTCTAAACATGTAATATATATTAAATCACTTTATCTATTTTATTGATAGTATTGCTCAGTCATCTTCTAATCCTTCTTTGTAATTCTCAGTTGTAGCTGGAACGCCTTAAAAGGAAGCTAGTTTCTTTGAAATTCCTTAACATTTGACTCTTGTAAAGTTAATGATCATATAAGGATTAAATTCATTCCAAGAATTTTACTGCTCTTTACTATTTTATTACTGTTGCTTAGTCTCATCAGATGTGGTTTTTCTGGGTTTTTTTATAATGTTAAATTCTTCTAGTTTATTCATTCTATAAAATTTATCTTAGTTGTTGTCTAGTGCTTAAGAGAAAGAAATAATATCTACAAAGCAATCAGCAGCCCTAAGAAAACAAGATTTTTCTTAACTATAGTTCTTCAAAGTATCTTCTAAAGTAGGTTTAACTGGACAGTATTGAAATCTTTAACCTTAAGAAGGTGAAGTGAGAGGATCATAAATTTGAGATCAATATAGGCAGTCTTATCTCAATAATAATTTGTTCGTAGAGTTGTAATTGTCCTAAACTTATGAATTTGTCTTTTTCTCCTGCACCTATAATAAATATAAATGATTTGAATTGAAATACATCATTTTGGTCCATCTCTATATGACTTCCCAGCTATTCCCAGCTATTATAACTTCTCTCTATATAACTTCCCAGTTATTAATTCAGCATATGTGACCATGTGAAAAGAGTATACTAGTTTTATGTTCAAGTCCTGCCTACCTGCAAAGTCATAAATGACAGTATTATTTGAAGAGAAAGTTGCCTGAACAACAGGCATTTTTTGATTATTTCGTATAATCCTCTATCAAAGTCATGCTATCACTATCTGTATCATGCTATTCATGTTCTCTCCCAGTGTAGAATGGTTGTTTTTGTCATACTCGTGTGGGTTTTATCTTCCTAAACTGTATAGTCACAGATTTCTTTTAACCTTCTGTCTTATTTTACCTATTTTTAGCTTTGCTTGATAGCCATTGTAAGTAATTTCCATATGGGGATACATGTTATAGACTGAAGGAGTAAAAGGAAGTTTTAAGAAGTAAAAGGATTCTGGGAAATGAGGAGTGGAAAGCAAACATTGACAGTGGGTGACAATTAGGTAAATACGAAATTTCTCAAACTAGTAGATTTCTTCTCTTAGTCTTTCAATTCACCTCTATACCGCCAGTCTACACTCAGTTTCAAATGTTCTTCTTTGCCTTATCCTCAAAATAAATGACTTTAGATGTAGTTTTAAAAAGCCCAGTACTACGCAAGTTTTTGTTTTGCTTATACAAGACTAGCCAAAAAATTTACTAATATTGTTTTTCCAATTATGTGAGCCTATTTATCCTTAAAGTTAAAAGAAAGAAGAAGAAAACAGTTTTTGTTTTGAAATAACAAACTACTTAAAATTCCAGTAACTTCACAGAAAAGTCAACTTTATAGGAAGTTTTCTAGAAACAGATATTCATGTAATTTTGATCCAAAACACTATACTAGGAAGATATATTTTCAAACAAAAGAAAAAACAAAGAGCTTTTCTTGCCAAGAATAAATGTAAAAATATTTCTCCCATAGAAAAACTAAAGGTTCATCATAAGTAAACAAATCATTTGCTAATGAGAATGTACTCTTTCAATTAGTGGGTATAGGGTAAAGGAATAGTTTAGAGTACCGTAGAAATCACCAGAGAAAATGGTACTTTTACCAGGGTTTTTCTTGCCATAGGTCCATTCTCTGGCAAAATTGTCCCAGTGAGCAGTGTAAAACTGTGGAAAAGCTCCCCCTCCTACCATGAAAGCTAATGCAGGACAGTGACCAATATAGGAAAAGGTTTTGGGGTGTTTTTTTTTTTTCCATTAGTCAGAGGAAATCTGAAATGCTTATCTAGTTCTCTACACTTTTAGTGTCAGGCATCTTTGATATCTGTATATCATGTAGTTATCAAAGTATACTAAGTAGGTGATAATAAAATGTCATTTTACTCCACATACTTCAATGGCTCTAAAATTCAGGTGTATTTCTGCTTTGTGTTCCAATTAACTGACCAAATCTATATTTCATTTAATAGGTTCTAACTCTGTTTTCTTGATTTCCATTTTTTCTTGATTTTCTTGATTTCCATTTTTCCCAATTTCTGATGAATTCCAGTATTCATTTAAATCTTACACGTGCCTATAAATTATCCTTCACATTTGTAGAAACCTTTTGCACTATATGACTACCTCTAGCCTTAAGAAGGAACCTTTAAATCCAGGGGTGGGCAAACAAGGTTAAATAGATCTGTGAAACTACAGTGGTAGTTCTTTTAGAGAGTGAATCGGGATTTAGTGGTAGCCATTGCTTCAAATGGAGACTAAGAAAAAGAATAGGCATGTCTTAGCATTATTTTCTATTTTTAAATTTCCATTTCCAATCAGTTTTTATAATTCTTCTCTCATTTTTTTCATCAATACTCTTTCACTCTACACTGAGGAAATCCTTACTCTCCGAACGTCTTTAAACTAAAGAGTTGTTAAAGAGATAGGACAAAGAACACAGATTAGGACTTTGTGGAAGTAGGAAGGAAATCTAGGATGAGGGGAGAAAGAGATATGGCAGAAGGAGTGTAAAAATGATTAAGATGTGATTTTTATGGAGTCTGCCAAAAATGTATGCACAGTTCAGCAGTTCACTATGCTAATAAATGTCTGGAAGCTAATGGCTACCACTTGGAGCACCTTTTGTAATTGTAGAGGCCAAAGATAACTTGTATTAATCTCATGATGTCTCAACAAGTTTAGCATTAAAATATTTATACAAGTTTTTCTAATTCATTTATTTTTTGGCAGTCTGTATGTGTACTAATTCTGTAAGATGATTGTAATTATTATATATTGAAAAAATATACTAATAAAATATACTTTAAAAAATGACTTCAAGAGTGAGAGTTTCGTGATGTTTTCTGTTATGTGAGCTTAGTACTTAATGAGAGGGTTGGGAAGGATAGGAGGGAGGTAAAGGGAATGAAGTACCATTCATTCAAGCTTTATCATCTGTAGTAGTAGAAAGGAAAAGCCAGTGAGAAAAAGATTAGAGATGCAAAAGAAGAAGGAGTAGGGATGTGTGTGTGTGTGTGTGTGTGTGTGTGTGTGTGTGTGTGTGAGAGAGAGAGAGAGAGAGAGAGAGAAAGTTGTGTTGAATGAAGGTACTGGATAAGTTTACTAAAACAATGGGGTAGAGAACTAAAGTTAAGACAGATAGCTCCAATCTTAGTAAACTAAGACATGTCATCTGATTTCATTTGTTTAATTTTTCAGATAATTCAAGTGATTGACAGAAAAATTTATGTACTGGTTCAAGAAAGCTGACTGAATGAACATTTTAACAACTTTTATCTTCTGAGCTGACCAAATTTTCATTGAAATGACAGAAGAAATATAGAACAATAATAAATTCATATCAACTTAGAAAAGAAGAGTGCCATCAAAAATGTGAATTTCTGGAACATATAAAAAACAGTATAAGATATATGGCATACCTCAATAGAGTTGACTGTACATCTCTATAGAGATAGTAAAGGTGCTCCAAAACAAAAGAACCTATAAATAAGTTCAAGAGAAAGATTTGTGGGAATTGCAAAGAATAGGGTATGTATGATTAACCAGATAATTAATTATAGGGTGCTATTGCACCAGAACCCTATTATAAAAAGTGTTGATTCTCCTGAGTATAGCATAAAGCCACAAGTATGTTAATCCATATCTGATATGGGACATTCCTATCTATTTCTGATGGACAGGCTGTCCCCCGGCTCACAGGCATGAAAAGAGGTTGAAGAATACCGCTCAGAACATGTGCTAACCATACAGGCCAGCTTGACAGTGTGTTCACCACCCAGTGAATCATTAATTTTCAGCCTCAGAGCCAGGTAAACACTCTCTTTGTCTTTGTGTCTTCCCAATTTATTAAGATGAGAACTCGTTTTCTATTTGGCTCAGCATTCAGTCCTTTGGTTAGTGGTTATGATCCTAGACAATCACAGCGTCTTCATATGAGGGAGAAAACTAATCACAACAGTTGTGACATCCTGGGTAGTGTGGTACAATTAGCAATAACAACAGCATCATGTACAGCCTAGCAACTGACAGACTGTGGAAACTGTTAATTTTAACCATAACAGCAAAGTCTACAGTTGGATAACGAAATCCAGCCACATACCAGGATATGTTTCCTATTAGCAGAGTGATTTTACCCAGAGTGTGGGGGGGTGGGGGTTAACGGGGAAAGGGAACAAAACAGATTTAAGTATGGAGAGATATAATAAAAGTGAGGCTGTAGGGCAAAGGATGATCACCCAATTTGGGGAAACTGGAGAAGAATTCAGGGGAGAAAGAATGAAAGAAAAAGCAAAAGGGCAGTTTTCCTTCTGTTAGTAACTGAGAAAGCTGACTGTATGAATTTGTCTTCTCCTTTAAGTTCTGTCAATTATTGCTTTACATAGTTGAAGGAGTGTGAAATCTAAATTAAAATATTTTTATCTTCCTAGTGAATTCCCTTTTATCACATGTTCTACTTTAATAATATGATGATATATTAGCCTTTTTATTATCTTTTCTATGGCATATCTTTTTTCATCTTATTATTTCTAACTTTATCCTTATGTTTAAATAGTCCTTAAGGATTTAAGTACTACCAAGTAAAAGCATCTTGTTGATTTTAAAAATAATTTGAAAATATTTGCTCTTTAATTCAACTCCAACTACTTACTTGTGCTTATACTAATCATGTAACTGTTTTCTGTTTGTCTCACTTGGTTTATAGTTCTTTTTTTCCCTTTCATTATATAATTTAAAGTTAATTAGATCAATCTTTTGCAAATAGGTACTATTTGAAAATATGTACTATAAAATTTTAAAAGTCAATTTAAATTAAAGATACTTTATTATTCTGTTTCCCCAACCATTTTTTGTTTGTTCATTAAGTATTCTTTCACTGTTTTACTGCATATCCTAATGAGTACAGCGTACTGCCAAGACACACTGTCTTCACACTTTTACATTTTCTAGGCGATGCTAGGACCTTCGATATTTTGACTCCTTATAATGCCACTTTTTGTATAATTATTATCAATCACTTTAAATCTATATGTTTTAGTTCCCCCCAAATATAATACTGTTGTATATAGTCAATAAACATTTGTTTATATGCATTTTTATTCATATTTAATTCTTTCCGGAATTTTTGTCTTTCAATTTGGAATCACTTTTCTTTGCCAGCAAAATTCACCTTATTATTTATTTTTGTGAGGATATACCATTGGAAATTTTACTGGATTTTTGTTTTTTTGAAAATTACTTTTTTTTTTTAAATGTTCACTTGTGGAGAATATTGTGGTAGATGTAAAATTCTAGGAAAACAGGTTTCTTTTGACAGTTTGAAAATAACATTCCACCGTATTATCTCTATTGATCATAATAATTATTTCTATATCTTTGAAGGTAATTCACTTTGTCTTTTAGCTATTTTCACCTTTTTTCTTTGTTTTTTATTTTTAGCAGGTTTCCTTGATACCCTCGGCGTGGTTTTCTTCATCACTATGTCTTTCACTTTGAATATTCTTTGCCTTCCTCAATTGCTTCTGTCCTATTTTTTTCTCTCTCTCTGTCTTTTACCTCCTGAAACTCCTATTAGACACGACTTCAGTAGTCCCTTGTTGAAGCTAGAATTTTTAAATATTTCTAGCCTTTGTATTCACCACATTTTAGCAGAAATATCTTCTGATGTTTCTTCCAGATCATGTCCTTCTCAGATTCTTTGTGAATTACTTACTAAGCTTAAACTTCAGTTCTTATGCTTTCTTAGTTCTAGAATTTTTATTCTATTTTTTAAAAATTGTAACTCTTTAAATTCTTCACTATATCTTTCATTTGTAACGTATTAATCATTGCTCTTCCTACCCAGCTGGATAATTTCAATAAATTAGTTGTCAATTAATTTGTGGAAATTTTCTCCTACACTGTTTGTGTCATACATATCTATTTTTATTGATAGTAAATACTGTCTTCATTAAAGTGTAGTGACTCTGGATAGAACTACTATTCTTCATGAACTCTGGTGAACAGAGTATTGTCAGTTTACTTTTATCTAATTATGGATCTTGAACAGATTTTGTAAAGCTCATTGAACCCCCTTGTTTATCTATACATTTCTAGTATGTGCAAGGATTCTCAATTGAGATTCTGGAAATTTTAGTCAGGATTGTTCCCCGTTGGAAATTTGAGAACTCTTGTTTTTATCTGTGTGCTACATTAGGGTTTTTCTCTGAGACTGAGAAACTTTGCTCAGCACTTCACTGGTTTTCTGCCTAATTTTTTATCCTCACTTTGTATAGTTAAATTATTCACAAAATTATCTCTGATTCTTCAGTAGGAGAAATGGGTTTTAGTTGGTGCTTTGCTTTGTTAGCCAGACTTCAGACTGTGTATCATTAAAGTGGTTATTCCTGTTTGGAATAGTCATAAGATTATAAAATTTAACGCTGGAAGGAACTGAAGACATCATCTTCTATTGGCTAACCTCCCACACAGTGCAGAAATGTTTCCTGCCGCATCCTTGGCATATGCTCATCCGGTCTCAATTTGGATATCTTCAGCAAAGGAGCTCATCATTTCCTGAAACAATCCATTCTGTTGGACAACTCTATTTTAAAAATCCTTATGTTGAGCTAAAATATGTCTTTTTGTAACTTATACTCATTTACTCATTGTTTTAAGTTTTCCTTCTGGAGTAAGTCAAAACAAGAGAACATTTCAGATAGCTATACTTAAAACAGATCTAAATGGCATTCCTGTTTTCTCATTTTCTCATTCTCTCTCTCTCTTTCTCTCTCCCTCTCTCACACACACTTACACACATTTATGTGCATAAACACACATTTTTGTCTCAAAACATCAAACACAATTACTAAACAAATTAATAATCTTAAGAAATTGCTTTTATTTGGTCATTATTAAAATGCTAGTTTTATACTATGCGAACTTCTCTGACAGTTTGAAGACAAATCTTTGTGTAATTATCGTAAATCCTATTTTTGGACAAAAAAGGAGTTTGAAGATTTCCACTATTTTTGGAAGTGACACTACATAACCACTTGTGGAGCTGCAGATAAATTAATCTTCAGTTGCCAAGAGGCAGATGAATTCTTAGCTTATGCACGTTTGTTTTTTGTTTTATTGAAACTTGCATATTAAAGCTTGTTTGAATTAATGATAATAATCATATAGTAACTAATATTTAGTGAATATTTGCTATGTATAATTAAAGTATCTTGTCTTCATTTTTGGACTGAACTTTTTGCTCAGTAAGAGGTCTCCTAACCCTTTAAGTGTAGTTTATGATTTAAACAGAGCACAGTATCAGAGAAGTTTCTGTTAGCAATCCTACTGAGGCTACCCTCAAACTATGCAGACTACCCAGGCACACTAGGAGTAGGAGTCATTCTTTGTTAAAGCTGAAATTCTGTATACATATTTTTAAAGAGCCAAATAGCTCTAAAATACACTCTTAAAAGTTTATGTCCTGTCCTACTTATGATTTAAACTCACAACTACATTTTATCCCCTTTTTCTCTTTCATGATTTCAGCATGTAGTTTTGAGTGCACAAATTGCCATTTTTTAATAGCCTGTGAAAAACGAAAAAAATCAACTTGCCTTATTGCATCTTTTCTCAGTTAAAATGGTGGAAAGTTATTGTGTGCAAGGCAAAAATGCTGAACCTCAGACAGTCCCTTAAAAGTACTGAAGCTATTGTCAAAATATGAGAAGAGGTAGAGTTTAAATAATCAGAGCCACTGTGATTACAACTGTAAACTTTGCAAAGCTAGTTGAAAGACAGAATGGGCAGCATCTGGTGTCTGACTTTCATTCTCATTTAACTGGTCTGGATTTGTAATATTTTCAATGCTCATTTTTCTTAGTTCATGTTTTCAGTGTGTAATGATTACATTTGTCATGGGGAATTGATACACGTGTGTAACATATCTTAACTCTTTTTTATCCCCTTTTTTTCCTTTCCTTCTCTGCTTCCTCCATCTCTCAGTCTCCTTCCCTTTTGTAATTTTTAAATGTTGTCTAGGTGATTTAAACATATGTGTAGGGTTCTGAGTTGCTGTGCTAAATCTACTGTGACATGGAACAAACCCAAGAATTTTTCCTATGCTCAAGATTTATAATCACGAAGTTGGGCACAGGTAAAGTGCTGATAGTTTAAAGGTACATACAATAGGATCCCACAGATTACAGATATTACTTTAAAATCAGTAGATTACTTGATATATCTGGTTAGTTCTAAGACAACCTTTAGAATCCTGCTTGTTAGATCAAGGGTAGAGAGAATTGCACTTTTCTTTTAAAAAAAATCACTTACATTAAATCTTGTGTTCATAAGATAGAATATCATTTTGTAGTATTTTATACTCTAGAATTGCTTTGAAACAATGATTAAGTAAATTTGAGGGGAAATATGTGCATCTTCTTTCTTTTGTGAGATGAAAAAAATAAAGCATAAAAATACTGACTGTCCTCTGTTCCTGTCTTTGATTTTTACAAACTAGTTTTAAAGCCATTTCTATTTGTTCTGTATCTAAGGAAGCGAGTTTCACGCAACTGATTTTCATTTGATATAATATTAAAATGGTTATCATACCAAAATGCCTTCTTTTGTGGTTTTTCTCATTTATATATTGCAACAATCACTTAGTTTACCTGTGTTCATTGTGCGATGGGTCGAGAAAAATATTTTTTTCATTTTAAAAAAGGGTAAAACTAAACATAACAAATAGAACAAAGCAGATCAGAAATAACAATGTGACTCAGATTTCAAAGCAAGACAACAGCAGATCTACAATAAAGTCTCTTTTCTTCTAAATGGTTGTCTATATCTTTACACACAATGAATTCACTTTAATATCAAACGTCCTTTCTCTTTTAATGACTTTTCAGCATGCCATTACTCTGTTTTTGCCCTTACAACATTATTTTTCCTCAGTCAATTATGTCCTAAAAAAATAACTGCCAAATGACCATTACACATTGGTTTGGTATTTCTGATTCTACTTGCTAGAAAGAAATGCATCTCACGTGGACAGCAGCCCAGCTCTCGTGCAGGTCTTAAATGCATAACACTGACAGGAAGCTGAACCACAATCATACTTCAGAGAGTTAATAGTTTCCTCACACTCTTCCCTCTGTAAAGTATATTAAGCTGAGATTATGCATATGACTTCAGTTCTTAAAGGTTTACAAGTATAGCTGGAATGCTTAGTATTTGATTGTTACATAAATAAGTGTTTGAGAACATATGTAAACTTGACAGTGTTAGCACCAGATGTTCTAGTAATACAGTAATGTACTTTGAATGTCCGTTCTCACTTAACTTGTTCATCTTGGCAATATCTCTTTATCTGCTAACTTTCAGGTAAGCACATGTTAACTCTATACATAGTGATGATTATTTTATTGTTATATTCAAATTGCATTTATTATGTTTGTATATAGTAGTATCAAATAACATAAGCAATAATACTGGGTTTTATGTGTGTCTTGTTTTGTCTAGCACTGTCAGCTGCACAAATTTCATGCCTTCTTCAGGCATTCTCCATCCTCTTTTTCTGTTCTCTTTTTTATCATGGAGCTTTTAAATTTTATCTTTGAAAGCTAGACATGATGGCACATGCCTGTAATCCCAGCATTTGAAAGGGTGAGGCAGGAGGATTGCTGTAAGTTTAAGGCCAGCATGGGCTACGAAGTGAATTCGAGGCAAGCCTGAACTGCATAGCAAGACCCTGTCTCAAAAAGCGAACAAAACAAAACAAACAACAACAACAACAACAACAACAACAAAAACCCCTCACTCATTGACGTATAATAGTTGTATATTTATATGGGAAGTAGAAGTTTGTATTAAAAATGATTAAATCAAACTAATTAACATGTCATCACCTCACATATTTGTTTGTAGTAAATTATAAAAAGTCTTTGACATTCTAAAGCACTTTTTCTTTTTTTGGAATTTGTTTTGCAATTATCTCAAACTTTTTACAAAGCAGCAAAAATAAAATAAGTATACAGAATTTTCCTTTATCCACTTTTCTATATTCTACCCATATTCACCTATTACTGACATTTGCTTTGTCAGATAAGTATACAACTCCCTCTCCCCTCTCATTACATATATATGGTTGTATGTGTCCATATGTATAAATAAAATGTGTACTCATATGCATGTACACAAGAACTGATAGTTCCTTAATCTTGAAATGTTAATTTTGCAGTCCTTTACTCCCATGTGGCTGTTTCCTAAAAACAAGAAAATTGTCCTCCATACAAGTAATGTCAAGCTTACACATTTTAAAAACTTTTATCTGTATTCTTTCTTTGACACAATCATTTCCTTCATAATATTATTTTTTTTTTCTAGTACAGGCCTCAATTTAGGATTAGTTGTTAAATTTAGTTTCTTCAGGCTCCTTTAATGTGAAACATTTTGAAATTTTTCTTTATATATAGCATTGATACTTTTCAAAACAATAATTCTGTTTTAATAATAAGAAACCTTTTGGAACCTGTGTGATGTTTCCTAATGAGTACATTGGAGCTTAAGTATCCTGTGCCAAATATAAAATCAATAAAATTGCATTCTTCTCTGGGTGTCACACCTGGTAGGGCTTTATGCCTATCTCTCCGCAATGATATTTATTTTGGCATAGTATTTCCCAATCTGTCTACTGTATGGTTATTGGCTTTTCTTTCACAACTAATAAAATATCTGTAGATACAAAGCATAGTGCAAATGCACTAAAGCAAAAACTTTTCAGTGATTTGAAATTATTTTTTAATCGTGTACTGGTCACAGCCCACTAGACGAGCTCTAAATAATCATCAAAATTTCACCGAAATTTCTGTCTCTGAATGCTCCATTTCCTCTATCCTTTTTGATGTGAAATGGCTTTGGTCCCTGTGGGTACATGGTAGCATCTATGGAGACTTCTTGGCTTTACCAGGCAAGGATTAACTTTGGAAGACATTTTGAACAAGTTACAAAATTCTGAAACCATAGACACCTCCTTGTTTACTGAGGAAGGTAACTTATTAGGATGAAAAATCCGAATATACTCAAGAATGAATGCAAAATGTTGAAGCCAAAAACTCAGTTCTTAGCCTCAGAATGAAAGGTTTATGGGCCCCCCAAAAGACAACTAATCAAAAGACTCAAAACTAAACTATTGGAAGAAAGGATTCCATTTGTGTTGAGGCAAGAGGTTTAGTATTTACATATGAAAACATAGTGTCACAGTCTGGATAATGAATGTTGCCAAAGGCTCATATGTTAAAGACTTGGTCCCCAAAGATGGTCTATTGGGAGAGAACAAACCTTTAGCAAGTGGTGCCTGGCAAGAAATCTTTAAGTAATGGGGGTATACAACTTGAGAGAAACCATGGGAACCTAGCCTCTTCTTTTACTATTTTGCCTCCTGGCTAGGCATGAGTTTTGCTCTGCCATACTCTTCTTGCCATTACTATCCAGATGCCCACCAGAGGTTCATGAATTGGAATCTTTAAAATTATAAGTCAAAATAAACATTTTCCCTTTTTAAGTTAGCTGTCTCAGGTGTTTGTTATAGATAAAAGTTGATAACCTTGGGTATTTTTTATATTGATTATAATATAATTAATGTACATAGTAAGAAGTGATAAAGAGAAAAGAAATCAAGAGAAAACAGTAAATGATTTCTACTTTGCATAGTAGGCCTACGATTCATGTCAATCTTGCAGCCTAAATGTGCAGCATAGTTTAAAAGCAACAGAGCAAATTAACTTCACTGTTTGAAATGTTTACCGTGGTGGAAAATGTTTTATTTATACGTAATATTGTAAAAATTATTTTAGCAACACACTATATTATAAGTTTCTAACCCAATTATAAAATACAGGAAAATGAAAGTTAGGAAGAGTAGATCAAATTAGAAGTGTTTGAGAATGAACTCTAGATTTACTAAAAACTAAAAACAAAAATATCACAGCACCAGTGTAGCACATCAATCATTTGAGGTTATCCGCTACTCTTGAAGAGGCTATCCTGGCTGCAGAAAATACATTAGTGTCTTAAGGTCAGAATATACTAACAAAAAAAATGAGCACCCTGAAAAAGAACCAGCTGGCTTAAGGCAATCCAAAGTGCACAGATGTTAAAGGTTTGCAGTTCTACCAATACCATTACCCAATACGAGATAAGAGACAAAACACTAAAAATTACAGGACTTGATTTACCATGCTGACTTAAGATCTTGATTCTTTATGTTCCTTCATGTTTTTTAATTTCTATTTTATTATAATTTTATTTTTTACCTTCTGAATGATAGCTGCAAAAAGGAAACAATTTTTTATAGAACTTGAAAATTAAATTTTAACTTATCCTTGTTAGAAATATGCATAGAATTGTTAATGTAAGCTCTTAAGTTTTAAATGGTCTAGACAAAATAACCAACAATCTATTGTTCTTCACATTTCCTCAAATCTTAACACAGATGGTTTTGTAGCAAGTAGAGAGATGGTAGATAATAAGTCAATTTTGAACTTTCTAAAGAGGCAAACAAATGTCTAACGAAGTCGACTAAAATCAAAACCTTACATGGTTTGAATCATGGGAGTAATCAGAAAATAAAAACGTAAATGGTTTGGAAAATGTTTCATAGTTGCAAAGTATCCATGGATCTGTGGTTAAAGTCATGAAAATTAGTTCTACATTCTTTAAGACTTTAGTCATTGTTTTCTATTTAATGATATTGAGCACTTTGTGAGTATAAAAATTATTACTAAGAATTATTTGGAGATATTACATAAAAATTAAAGCACATCCTGTAAATACATTTAAAATGAAGCATTGCATATCATAGAATCAACAACATCCTACCAGACTGAAGATGTTCAAGTTGTTTATTTGATAAGGACCTTAAACCCTCATACATACCTCTGTACCATTATTGAGAACACAATTTGGTCAGGTGTATTCACCATGCTATATTAGGAGATTTCCCTATTTGTTCTCATAAGAACAAGTGAAAGCAATAATGTTAAATGTATCCTTCTGTAACTAGTTGTCTCTATTTTCAATTCTAGGATATAGTTACAGTATAAAATAAGCAGAATTACAAATTTGATAATCAATTTTTGTAAGTGCATCAAATTCATTTGTTATTTGTAATAAGAGAATGTGAAAGTAAGATTAATTTAGCTGCTGCTTGCTTTTTTCTTGTTTTAAAAACCATCAAAATAGCTCCATAGCTCCATAGAGAAAAGCTTTGAAGAATGGCTTAAACACACTCTTTTTTTCCTTTTTTCTCAGGTTGGTGTCACTTCAAAAATAAAAATAGGCACTCTTGCTGGAACATCAGGAGTAATACTGGGTATAAATAGGCTTAGAATATACTTAACTATAGTAATCCTTCCCAACACACAGAGAGATGAATTGATAACCAGATTTGGCGTTTCAAATATTTTTTACCCAAGGCAAAGGCTTTAAGGTGTTTTCTTGGAATTAGAGAGTTTAGAGATGAAAAAGGTGCCATTTATTATTTTCTCTTTCTGTCAGCTTAGGACTTCTCTTTGCAATCTTGTTTATAAAACTGGCCTTTCTGTTCTTAAATGTTTCACTT